ATTTTTTTTTGTTTTTCGCAGGGATTACATATTTTTTTTTTATAATTAAGTGTTCTTATTAATGAAAAAGAAAGTACAAAAACGAAGCAAGGAAAAAAACAAAGAAAATAACGAAAGAGTAAATAAAAAACCAACCCACAATACAATAACCCCCCCTAATAGAAGTCCCTCAGATCAAGGTTTCTCACGAGTTTGAGATCTTGTCCTCATGTGATGTGATCGCCGCTTACTCTTCCTATACATTCCAATGCTAGTGTTCAAATTACCTGTAGGTAAGTAATTTTCTCTTGTGATCAACAAAGCTTTGTGACAAATTTCTCGATTTTCATCAGAGTCCCACAGATCTTCTACCGCCGAGATTGGGACGCTATTCTCATTTTCCGAGGCATGACCAAGGATTACATATATACATATTGCTAGTGTTGACCGACCCTTACATTTTTTAAGATTTTGTTCCGTGGCCGTACCAAAATTTTCAAGTTGTCTCTTCTTTTTCTTGTAATATTATATAAAAAAAATCCAAAGAAATATTCATCTGGCAGTGAAAAAAGAAAAAAAGAAGCTAATTGACGAGTAAAATATTTTACTTGTATAATGAATTTTATTTTTGACAATGAAATTTTTATATTACATTCTTACTATATATAAAATAAGGGGTCTATTTTTTTCTTTTGTCCCGGGCCTATAAATTGTCAGGACCGCCCCTGGCTATAAACCATTAATATTATAATAAAATTTTCTTTGTATTCATCTCTATGTTAAATAAGTGTATATAGCACCATAATTTGGACTAACACTTTTGGTGTTTCTTTGTTTTTGTTAGAAGCGGCTGAAAGTTCTTGGAAGGTGTCGAACGCTATTGGTGTTACTTTACGTGGTTTCTTGTTTGGAGTTTTTTATTAATAGGTTATAAATAAATAAAGGACTAAAAAGATAGGTCAATCAATAAAACAAATGTAGTTAAACTGAATATTAGTTGTGCAAGTAGTCATTGTTAAAAGGGAAAAGTACGGAAAAGGTACCAATGGTTGGGGCTGTTTTCAAGCCCCCGAAAGGTACTTGTGGTTTCTTTCCTTCTTGACATTTTGTATACAATATCACGAATTAAATATATTCTTGTGTTTAAAGTTAGACGTTGGTTAATGAAAAAAGAACCATACTAACCAAAGGTGACGTTTATTATATAACGGAATATATTTTTGGGTAGTTTCCTATTGTTAGTACTACTTCCATCCCATTAAGGACGTGAACATGTGATGCACTTATTAAAAAAACGAATTTATGTGGTTGATATTGAATTGATAAAGTAAGAATGAAGTAAGAATCATTTTGAACCATACAATATTTACTAAATTTGGCATGCAACAATCTTATTGGGATGAACCAAAAAAGAAAAATGAGTCAATTTTAACGAGACAGATGAATTTAATGAGAAGGTATATGTCAGAGACTTTTAAATTATAGTATAATGAGCGGTGTTCATCAACTTTTTGGAGTAATTGGTCGTAGAAGAGGAACAAACACCGAAGGTTAACCAGCTCATGGACTCCTTAATTGCCAAAGACACTTGAGAAACCCATTTCAAAATTGGAATCTTTCTTTTCCTTTCGACTTCCGTGAGGAAGGTAAGAGTGTAAAAGGCCAATCGTCATATTGCATAATTTATGGGCTCTATGCTTGGTGGGCCCTAAGCAGGCCCAGACTGTTCTATACGAGGCCAGCCCTGACTAATACAAACTTACAAAGTGCTACCTACTCCCATGTGTTGGCCTAAACGAAGAAAAAATATGTGGAAAAAAATACGTAGTACGTACTACGGAGTAGTTGATAAAAATGATAAAAATTATGTTTAACAAAGAATTGCATTTTGTAGTGATAAAAAACATGTACAAACGCAGATTACTTTTCAATTACTTGAATTTGATATTTTACTTTTTTGCATATGTTAATATGTTAAATATATATTAACAAAATATGTTTCTTCATAATTTAATAGTTTCATCAATGCCAAATACTATGCAGTCTAGTTGTGGTCCTCCCATGGGAGGCCATATGTTTGAATATGTACTCTCTTCATCTCAAATTGATCTGAAACCTTTCTTGATTAATCATCAGTATCAAAGTTAAATCCTTCTTATTTATAATTATTAATTAATTTTTAATAAAGAAAATTCATGTATTCATAAATTACATTAAAATCTTTATAAAGTTGCAAAATTCAAATTAGAACATGATAAAAGATTGATATCTTAATTAAGTAAATAAAATGAAACTGTTTAATAAAACAACTGACTTTACAAATGAATTTGGACAGAGGGAATATAAAAAAACAGAAATAAATATGACAAGATTTCAGTACAATTTGTTGATTTGACTCTTTGTTTGATCATTTACCAAATGGCTCTTGCATAATCGAGTTATAAGATAGAATTTCAATACAACACATGTAATTTCTTCAACAAAAAAAGAAGATAACACACCACAAAAAAAATACGGGATTGCAACGGGTTTAACACAGATTTACTAATGATTTAATGCCAAATAATTCATGCCAAAATTTCTGCCAATTTCGGAAAATCGGTGTAAATAATATATGTCAATCCCATGTTTTTTTTTGTTGCGACGCATATTGATAAACTAAATACCACGGTTGGGCGTTTCTACTCATTCTTGAACAAGTAGAATGGGATATTCGTAGATCCAGAAATTTGTGATCAACCGTCTGTACTTAACTATTATATTCAAGTTATAAGTTGATCGATGCATATAATAATAAACTAATAAAGTAAATATCATGCAAAAGAAAAGAAAAACAATTAAAAGCATGCATAGTACTTCGTATATGATAAATCACACGATCAATCACGTAAAACTAGTCAGTATTCCTACAAGGGTTTGTACACACATATATAAGGGATAGAGTTTTTGAATTACCAGGGATGGAGCGGGGCGGCGGACGATAGGCAAGGACCAATTTTGTTGTCGTTAGTAGAAAAATTGGCGGCCGGTTGGCGGTTTCCGGCCACAAGCGGTTGTGATGATGACCGATCAAAGTTGGAGCCCAGGCGGCCACTTAATATGATCGACCACAAGCTAAGGCTAGGGTTGCAACGGTTCATTACATTATATTCATGCATCTCCCGTTTAATAATAATTCAATTCTTAGAATCAGATGGATGTTTCCAAATACTACTTCAGCATGAATTCTACTTTAATTTTTTTACGGAGTATATTATTAGGACTGCTAAATCCTTATATCACGTATATGATAATCCCTAGTTTCCTAAACGTTGTTAATCATAATCTAGAGTTTCCTAATGGGAGAAATTGACTTTGCACCCCATGTTTTAGGCCATATTAGACTTTGCATCCCATATTCAAAATCATTAATATTTGCACCCCATTAGCTCAAAAATTGTGAAGGGGTGGAGTGCAGAGTCAAATGATTATATAGTGAAATATGGTGCAAATATGAATGATTTTGAAAATGGGGTGCAAAGTCCAATATTAACCCAAAACATGAGATGCAAAGTCAAATTCTCCCTTTCCTAATCTATATATAGTTAACCAGGATTATTCCTGTCCGGAAATTCCGGACAGGAGCCCCGTCCGGCCTCCTCCATTTGAGGGCCTTCCCGGTGGTATTTTTTGCTCAAATTTTTTGTGTATGTTTCTCATCAAGTCTAATTCATCCATACCAAATGTCAGCAAAAAATTCAATCGGGAAGGTTGTCAAATGATTTTTTCAAGTTAACTAGTCCGGAATATGTATTTTTTAAAAATTAGATTATGAAAATTTACAATGAGACAAGTTTAACAGTTAGTTAATTATCAAAATAGGACTAAAAGTCATTCACTTTGCACAAATAGGACAAAAAAATAAACTATGTTTCCATAGAACTAATTATGTGTGTCTTTGACAAATATACCCTTATACCTATTGGAATGTTTTAATTCATAATAAAATAATAAAAAATAATAAAAATTCGTAAAATATACCAAAAAATTAATAAAAAATATTTTGAATAATAATAAATTATAAAAATAAAATAAAAAAAATTAAAAAAATTAAAAAAAAAAAAATAAAAAAAAATCAATTTTTTTTGTCACCGCCGCCTCTGCCGCCCCAGCACCACCACCTCTAGTCATTTGGGGAAAAAATGCCAAATTTATTATGAATTCCATATTTTTGGCATAATTCAGAATGATTTAAGATGGAAGAAAAAATGTTGGCATTGTCAAAGAGAAATATGCCATATTTTTGGCATTTTCCGAAAAAAATGGAAGTTTGTAGGAAATATGGCATTTTTTTTAATGGTCGGAGGTGGTGGTGCAGGGAGGCGGTACCACCACCTCCTATCACCGGGGTAAAAAAATGCCAAAAAAATTATGAATGTCATATTTTTGGCAAAAGTCAAAAGGATTCAAGTTGGCAGAATGAAAATGTTGGCATTCTCATAGAGAAATATGCCATTTTTGTGGAATTTAAAAAAAATGGCATTTTTTACACTGATCGGAGGTGATGGTTCAGGGAGGTAGTACAGGCGGTGTGAAAGGTATCCATATTTTTTTTTATTTTTTTTTATGGAGTTTTACTATTTTTTTATTAATTTTCAAAAAAAAAATCTTATTTAAGTTGTGTCTCGGCAAATATGAAATGTTGACCATTGCATTTATTTAAGGATAGATGAAGTATTTTACTCCCTCCGTATCAGATATATCTTCCCACTTCCAAAGTGGGTGAGATTAAGAATAGTGAAATGGAGTATGAATTATTGAGGGTATGATGGGAAGATGGTGAAATAATGTGATGGAATGAAGGATAAATCCAAAAAGAGTAGGTGTAGTAGTGTATTATTTTTTAAATTATTGAGGGTATGACAGGAAGATTTAGAAATGGAAAGATATAAATGTTACGTCCAAAAAAGGAAAGTGGAAGATATGAATGTTACGGAGAGAGTAGTATTTGTATGATTTCAATCTGAAAAGTTTGGCACAATATTTTAGGCATTTCTTGCCCCAACCATCTCTGATCTCTCCAGCTTTCTTTCAATGCTATTTTATTAAAAAATCTAGAGTGGTTGGTGCGGATCACTCTTACTCACCACTTCCAAAGCTTGATGTGTGTTGAAAGTGTCTCTCCGGCTACAAAATGCAATTTAGATCTTATGAAGATAAAAAGCGTGCTTTGCTAATGGATTAAGATAAACTCGGTCCAGAGGCCAGACCGTTGAGCTGCGGTGGAGACCGGCTCGATGGCGGAGTGGCCATAATCGAGGCGAGTGGTGACGTAACGGCGGTGCCAGAGCTTGTACTCGTTCCATGTCGATCTCAACTTCACCCCTGGCCGCTCGATTGCTTCAGCAGACTCCAAGCTTCGGGTTGGCAGTAGCTCTGTGGCTACGACGACCACAAACTGGATCAGCAGCCGTTGGCGGCAGTGAGGTAAGTAAGAACGGCGGCTAACACCATCGTAAAATTGGAGATCTGAAATTGGAGAAGTCTTTTCCTTTTTTTGAATTTCTCAGAAACGTTTGTGCTGACTTTTTTTGGGTGATTGTGATAGATTTTTTGTATATAAAAATGAAAAAATTGAGTGCTATAATCCAATAATCTTGTCCAATGGCTTGATACCACGACCCCAGAGATAATAGTATTCTTTTTTACTCATTATTTAATTATCAATTTTTTAATGGAAAAATTGAAAATAATAATCTCAACTATTGCCGGTCCGCTAACAATAATCCCAACTATTGATTATTTTTGTATAATCCCAACTATATGGACCATCCGCCAATAATGGTCCATGACCAAATATTACCTTCTATAAAAGTGAATTTTAAATAGAAATTAAGCGTAAAAATTAAAAGTTAAGATTATTTATAGAGATTACTTGTTATATCTCTTCTCATCCACTTCAAAAAATACATGAATTTATTTACAGGGACTGTTATTGGCGGAAGGACCCTAAAGTTGGGATTATACTAAAATAATCGATAGTTGGGATTATTATATGCGGACCGCCAATAGTTGGGATTATTACAATCAATTTTTCCTTTTTTAATTCATGGTTTCTATAATGTTTAAACTTAACTTATGGTTATTACACTTAGAGGTCGTTTGGTAACCTCATTTTTCGGCTTATCAGACTTATCAGCCAACTTTTTCAACAAACACGTAACTTTTACTTTCGCACGCTGAATTGTGTCATAAGCAGAAAAAGTAAGGTTGAAATTACTTTTCTCGCTGTATTGGCTGGAGTTACTGTAGATGACCATTTTAGCTATTTTTACATATAAGTTTTTCTTAATTTTATTAACACAATATATTTTAAAAATAATTTTTACGTAAATCAGCAGAAACAGTCAAAGCAGCCACTTCAGTCAGAACTTCATAAATTTCAGCAGAATCAGCCAAAACAGCCGATTTTCATGCTATCAAACGGGCTCTTATATATACTCTGTAGAAGAAATTAGTTGTTTGGTTGTTTCAACTTTCACGTTGGTCAGCTTTATCAATACCCGTGCACCCATCAAAGTTATTAACCAAGCATTCCAGTCCACTGGGTGCAAGGTTACCGTGTCTAACTAAAGTCTCGGGTTCGAATCCCGCTAGACACATTTAGGAGAGAGGAGGGAGGTCTTGCTCCCAATGTTTCTTCCTACATTCACGGAGTTGCTCAACGGCTAAGAAGGGAGATAGATGAAAATTCAGGCTCGAGTTCGCGTGGTGGGAGGACCCTTTTGGATTTTGTTGCAAGGTTTCAGCCCTTCTGGATTTAGTTGTATGGCAACAATCTTGCTAGATTCGCCCTGTACTACCAGTACCAACATGGTTGACTGTGATCATATCCAATTTTAACTGTCTAGCTAATCTAGTATAGCTATATTATTTGACCTAAACTTCACCTATATCATGAATTGGTCTAATTTGGTTTGGACTCACTTTCACTTTTGATAGTGACATTTTTGAGCGGGAAAATGGCCAAAAATCCACTTGCTTTTATATATAGATATAGAATAATTGTTGCAAGGTTCCTCTATTGATTAATTTTAAAAAAATAAACTGCAACATTAGATTTAAAATGATTTAACATACCCCAAAAACAAGGCAATTTGAATAGGAAAATAAAATAATCAAAATAGTGAGTGGCGTAACTAAGAATTAGGTAGTAGAAATTAAGGAACCAAAGTTTGAAAACATGCTCCATAGAAATTTGCCTTCAATTCAATACAAGGATAGCATTCTAAGAAATCAACGTACAAAGATCTAATACATTACATGTTTCTTTATATATCTCACTGATGTGCGATGAACAACTAATGTATTTCATTTAAAACAACATAAACTTTAACAAAAGAAAAAACATTATTGGTTGAGTTTTATCTGCTTTCTTCAAGGGTCTGAGACTAAAAGTTATTGAGAATATGAAGGCCATCAAGGGTAGTAGATTTGATGTCCAAGGGTTCTTTCTATTTATCTAGAGATACCCTAGGAATAACTCCAATATCATCAGCTTTACTCTGAAGTATTCTAATTCTAGTTTTCAAATTCATTTCTTTCCAACTTTACCAATTTCCTTCGTAATCTCCTCAACCTCACTCTTCAACTCATTCATATATTTACCAAGGCTCCTATAAGATGCTTGCAGAATCTCCATTCCCTCAACTAAATTCATCTTCATAGGTGCATGTTCATCACTTAACTCCTTCTGAGAGGCCGCAATGGACTTGATATGCTCATGGATTTCACTTGAATGAGTTAGGACAACGTTCACATGCTCTTCCACATTCTTGGAAGCCTTCTCTAGGTTTTGAGTTCTTAGATCAACCACAGAAAATGAATCTTGAATTTCTTTCGAGTTTTGCAGTAAAACCTCAACATGTGCCTCTATGTTTTCTATCTTTTCCTCTGCATAATCTGTTGTTATCTTCAAGTCATTCACCAATCTCTTCATTTCATATTTAAATGCATCCATCTTGCATTATATACATGTCATTCTTAAGTAGTGATAATTAAAAGATTATCATGAATATCCAATATAATAGGAGGAGTGGCTCATGGAATTTTATATATGAGATTTTATTTTTATATATGTTTGATGTGAATGACTTAACATGCCTGATGAGGGTTGAATCAAACCAATTTTGAAATATGTTCTTTTGAGTCTTTTTCGTTTGAGCTTGATTGTCTCTATTTGGAATGATATCTTAAAAGTTAGTTTATAATAATTATATTTGTTCAATATATAATGGCTTACGAGTTACAACGAAATTCACTAGACATTGAGTCTAATACATAGCAAGAGGCAATGTGGAGAATTTATTGAAGTTGGTGGCAAATGAAGTTGGTTTCAAGAAAGAATTCAAGGTAAATCTTGTGAGAGGGATCATACAAGTTCCTCAGACAATGGTTCATGGGAAATTTGGGGTCTTAGAATGGAAAAGAAGACCAAACAAAATGTTTTTGGAAGCAATCACTGAGATGCCACGCAAGACGGGACCTTAGTTCATCATCATAAAGAGCCATTGAATGTCTCAGAACCTTCTACTCAAATATTCAGTGGCTCTTTATGACGATGAGTTAAGGTCTCGTCTTGCGTGGAGTCTCAATGATTGCTTCCAGAAACATTCCGTATGGTCGTCTTTTCCATTCTGTGACCCAAAATCTTTCATGAACAATTGCCTCAACATGAACTTGAATGATCTTTCTCACAAGATTTACCTTGAATTTTTTTTGAAACCAACTTTATATGTCACCAACTTCAATAAGTTCTCCACTTTGTCTCTTGCTATGTATTAGACTCCATGTCTGGTGATTCAGTCGTAACTCGTAAGCCATTATACTTCCTCCGTTCTTTTTTAGTTGCAACGGTCAACATTTCACACTTGCCAATGCACATCTTTGACCGTAATTATATCTTAATCCATATTAGTAAAAAATATTTAAAAATTAGATTTTGAAAATTTGTAATGAGATGAATTGAACAATATAATTTTAAAAAAATAATTTTCATAAAATAATAATATAAAATGTAGTCAAAGTAGAACATGTGAATAGTGTAAAATTCAACATGTTGCGATTAAAAAGAGACGAAGGATAGTATATTGAACAAATATAATTACTTTAAACTAACTTTATAATGTTATTCCAAATAAAGACAATAAAGCTCACATGAAGAAGACTCAAAAGAACAGATTTCAAAAATGGTTTTGCTTGAACGATCATGCATGTTAAAACATTCACATCAGACATATATCAAAAAATCTCAAATAAAACAGTCTATGAACTACTCCTCATATCATGTTGGACATTCGTGATAATATTTTAATTATCAGTATTTAAAAACGACATGTATACCATTCAAAAAAATGACATGTATATAATGTAGGATATATGCATTTAAATATCAAATGAAGAGATTGATGAATAACTTGAAGATAACATCAGGGTATATAGAGGAAAACATAGAGGAGCATGATGAGGTTCTATTGCAAAACTCGAAAGAAATCAAAGATTTGTTACCCATGGTTGATCTAAGAACTAAACACCTTGAGAAAGCTTCCAAGAATGTGGAAGAACATGTGACCGTTGTCCTAAGTCATTCAAGGGAAATCTGTGAGCATTCTAAGACTATCGAGGCCTCTTAGAAGGTGTTAACTGATGAACATGCACGTATGAAGATGAGTTTAGTTGAGGGAATGGAGATCCTGCAAGAATCTATACTATAGCCTTGATAAAGGTATGAATGAGTTGAAGAGTGAGGCTGAGGACATTGGTAAAGTTGGTAAGGAAATGAATTTGAAAATGAGAATACTTCAGAGTAATGCTGATGATATTGGAGTTATTGTTGGGGTATCTTTAGATAAACAGAAAGAACTATTGGACATCCAGTTGCTCTTGATGGCCTTTATATTCTCACCAACTTTCAGTCTCAGGCCCTTGAAGAAAGCAGATAAAACTTAATCAAAATTGTATTCTCTTTCGTTAAAGTTTTTGTTGTTTTAAATGAAATCCATTAGTTGTTTATCACACATTATTGAGGTATATAAAAACATGTAAAGTATTAGATGTTCATATGTTGATCGATTTTTTAGAGTGATATTCGTGCATTGAAATGGAGACCTTTTATGTAGTAGCATGTATTCAAACTTTGGTTCCCTAATTACAACTACTTAATTCTTAGCTACGCCACTCACTTTGACTGTATTCTTTTCCTATTCAAATTACCACGATTTGGGGGTATGTCAAGCCTTTTTAAATATAATGTTGCACTTTAATTTTTTGAAATTAATCTATGGAGGAACTTTGTAACAATTGGCTGAAACTAGAGAAAAACAACAGGATAAATTGCTCAGAAACTAAGAAATGCTTCAACATGCTCATGATCACCTTGTGGAGAACTAAAAAGTAAATCTAACAGCTCAAGCGAGTATTGAAGTAGTTGACTTTGATCTTGTTAAATATTATCACATGATTAGGTCCTAATGAACAATGTCTTGTGCGTAAGGAAGCATTTGAGTCCAAACAGGCAAGCATGTTTGTAGCCATAGACAAGTTCTTTGCATTGCATAACGTTATTATCTAGAATTGAGGTTGATATTCACCTTCCTGCTTTATTCTTGTCAATCTTTCTCCTCTACATGCTTATTAGTACAAAACCGACCTATAATGTTAGGCCCGCCTTTATATAGGTAAACCATTACTTGTAAGAACTTCGTATCTCGTTTCAAGAATCATTTCTAATGTTTAAAAAAGTGGTTGAACTCATTTATTTCCAATGTGATGGCTTTACTGACCTTGGGGTAGGCAAAACTGGTGGAGAGCCGAAGAATAATCAAAGTATGATTTGAGTAAGAAATTTGGCTGAGTAATAGTATGCTAGAAAATTTAGAACTCAATGTCTCTCCACAAGCTGGAAAGAGATATTTATAGTGTTCAAGGAAATATTTAGGGAATAAGTAAAAATAACCGCCTCATTGATCTATTGACATGTGTGATGCTAATTGGAGAGATAAAATCTAACTTATCGTTTGATACCGTTGTACTTGCTTTTGTCCTTGCGTACTAGAATCCCTGCATAAGCCACACGTGTAACCTACCAGGTTGCATGTGTAATCGAACTAAGTGACGTAATTCTAGATGTTATATATTGCATTTTGGTGCTGAAATGTCCAATTCTGCGATCTCTATTTGAAGTTGTGAGCTCAAATGTAGAGGTGAAGCTCAGGTGCAATGTGTTAGCAAAAGGGTGAGGAGCCTCTGCTCATAGTGTGAAGCTGGGATGTCTCTAGTTGACATCAAGTTCACAACGCGAGAGTTGACTTTAAGTTTGTTGGAACATTTATTGTGAACCAATTTATACCCTATTTATTTATTTCTAATAGTTAGACTTTATTTAAATAGCTAGAATACTCCTTTTTTTAATGTGTTTGGGCCAAAATGTTAGGGGCCAAACTTTAATGCTAGGCACATGTACATTACCCAAGGTGTTTAATACCTTTTAGGGTATTGGGGCATAAATATTTTTAACGATTCATGTCATTTCATTCTGAATACATCAAACAACAGAGAACATTCTCACTAGCAATGTAGTGATGATTTGTGTGTAATTTCCATTTGAACTTGTACGTTTTTAATTAGTTTTGTGATTCACTAGCTTGGAAATTACACACTTTTGGTGTAATGTTTTGTTTTATTTAAATTGATGTAAGTTGTTTAGATTAGGATTTTTCTGAGCATAGGACAGGTTGAAAGCACTCAAAGGATCAAGAAATAGATCCCAAAGACCAAAAGGTGTGGAAGGAAACAAGATCAGAAATTGATTTGGGAAAGAGTTCATATACCCGGTCGGGTCTATGCTATACCCGGTCGGGTATTGACCCGATTTCGTTGTCCAAATCAAATCTCGGAAACAAAGGATTGTGGGAACAAAATATCTGAAAAATCCGATCTCATACCCGATCGGGTATACCGACACACCCAGTCGGGTATGAGGTGACGTTTTTCACTTCTCGGAACCAACCGAGTACCCGATCGGGTACCCCAAACACCTGGTCGGGTACATGATCCTACCACCTTCATTTCCCTATAAATACACCCTTCTTCCTTCACAATAAATCATCCCTTCTTCCTTATACTTAAGCTCAGTTTAGAATAGTTATTTCTTATATTTTTATAGTATGTTTAGTCTCCAAATGAGGAGCTAAACTTCCATTTCTTGGTGTTGCTCTTGAAGTTTGTTGATTATTGAAGTTGTGAGTTATTTTCTTACTTTCTCCTCTTGATTATTAATTCTTCCCTTAATCTCATTCTATATTAATGTTGGAGGGTGGCTAAGTGACGATTAGTTAACGTTCCGACATTGATTATTACTAGAAACGATCAACGAACCGATGGTTAAACGTTGATGGTTTCACAAGTAAGTAACTTCGGTTTATTAATGCACGGTCGTGGTTAATAAACTTAAGAGGGATTAATTTTGTTGGTTAAACCGAAACCGTTGTGTTGAGGTTATCAATCTCAATTGATTTCATCAAGGAGTTAAAGAGGTTAAATGCTACTATTATATCGGTGTTGAGGTTTATTCCTTCAACCCTTGGACCCAACACGTAAGCCCAAAGATTTCGAGTGGAGTGAGTGTGTGGATATCTAGCCCAACAACTTTCAGATGGATCAGGAAACAAGAGAAATAGCAGGCAATGTAAGTAGGTATTATTAACTTCGTAATAACTCCCCTAAATACAATCTACTTGCTAAAAAGGCACATCGGCCGTTCGTCTTACAAGGCACTCAGAAATGCTGCAAGTAAGAATGCTGAAGCTAATATGCTAAGAATAGAAAGTTGCCAACCCTTTACAATGAAATAAATGCTACTATTTATACCCGCCAATGGGCAGTTAGTCCTGATGATGTGGAGGATTGTTAGTGGTTGTGGCCCAACCACCAAATCTCCGGCATTAAATGCGCTTCCCGCCAGAATCTGGGTTCCCCGCCTAATTAATGACCACGATCGTCTGGTAGACCCGGGGGCCGTTCGTCTGTGGCCCTTCCTGAGAACGTAACAATCTTTTGGGCCTGGGCCCTCTACGGAGATGGGCCTCGGCTGACGACGTTCGTCACGGATGTGCTAACCGACCCTCGGCCGGGACCTTATGCTGTTATCCCGGAGACAGACATTCGTCCTCATTCCTTCAGGCCAGGGCCATCCGTGGGCTGGGCGACGTACGTCGGTTTGGGGGTAATTGGGCCGGACCCCTGCTCGGGGCCATTTACCCAACACAAGTCCCCCACTTCTGATGTTCCAAGCGTGCGTGGGACATAAGGAAGTATGCTGTGCCTCCTGGAGGATGTCCGTCTTCCGTACTTGCCTATGGGGAACTGGACGTACCTGATCGAAGGGCACTCCGAGTTGGGCGACCGCGGGTGAATCGAGGTGGCGGCTGGCGGCGAAACGCTGCGATTCCCGATGGGAAGTCATCATTACGCGTATCGCTTCCCCAGGTTGGGTTCCCGCCAGGATACGCTCCTCGCCACGTGTCGCTTCTTCATTCGTCCCCCCGGGGGTGCCTCCATGTCCATAATCGCCCTCACCTTCTCCGGGTTAGGCTCGATCCCCCGCTCGCTCATCATGTAACCGAGGAACTTGCCGCCCCTGACGGCGAAGGCGCACTTCTTCGGATTGAGCCTCATGCTGGCCTTCTCCATGATGCTGAAGACCCTCTCCATGTCCTGGACATGGTCCTCCTTTTTCTTGCTTTTGATCAGGATGTCATCCACGTAAGCTTCCATTGTCTTTCCAAGTACGTCCTTGAACAACATCCCAATCATCCTCTGAAAAGTAGCCATGGCGTTCCTCAGGCCGAAAGGCATGACGATGTAGCAGTACACGCCGTCCGCCGTAACGAACGCCGTTTTTTTCGGCATCATCGGGGTGCATGAACACCTGATGGTAGCCCCTGAATGCGTCCATGAAGCTGAGCAGCTCGCAGCTTGCTGTCTCATCCACCAGCAGATCGATCCTCGGGACAGGGTAGGGGTCCATCGGACAAGCTTTGTTGAGGTCCGAGTAATCGACGCACATCCGCCAAGTGTCGCCCTTTGGGGCTAGTACCACGTTGGCCAACCACTCCACGTGGATGACTGGCCGGATATGTTTGATGCTGAGGAGAGTTGCTGTTTCCTTCCTGATGAAATCGCGTCGGTCGGCCGCCATATATCTCTTCTTCTGTTGTATAGGCTTGGTATCCGGCCGCACGGCGAGTTTATGGCATATGAGGTTGGGGTCGATGCCCGGCATGTCCTCCGGCCCTCTGGCGAACAAGATCCTGAACCTCCGGAGGACGGCTATGACCCCTGCCCTGATTTCCGGCTCTAGATCCGCACCAATGGACACCTTCCTGTCCGTCGGATCGTCGAGTTCAATTTCCTCCAGCAGAGTTGCTGGTTCCAGATGAGCGTCCAAGTCGGCTTGTTTGGCCTTCTCGGAGATGCTGTTGACCCGAGCCTCCCGCTCGTTGAGCTTCTCCATGGCCTTCGTGTAGCAGGCTCTGGCCATATGCGGGTCCGTACGTGCTACTCCCACTCCAGTGTCGGTGGGGAATTTGATGCATGAGTGCCGTACGGAGCATATGGCCCCCAAGTCTTCTAGGCCGGGTCGGCCCAAAATGGCGTTGTGGGCGCACTTCAGGCGGACCACGACGAACGTCATTCCGATCCGGGCGGTGTGGGGGCCGTCGCCGACCTCCACTGGCAAGATGATGGTGCCCTCAGCGTCAATACAATCCCCGGTGAAGCCGGACAGCGGGGTACGCAGAGGGTGCAGCATGTCCTTCCTGAGCTTCATTCCCTCGAAAGCCTCCCAGTAAAGGACGTTCACACTGCTCCCGGTATCCACAAGGACGCGGCGGACGATGGCATCGTTCACGTCCATGCTGATCACCAGCTCGTCTCTGTGCGGCGCTGGTGACATTGGCAGATCGGCGGGACCGAAGGTGATTGCCTCGATTTTGTTGCGCTTAGCGGGGGGTGCTGATACGGAACCCACATAGAGTGATCTCTCAAATTTTTTCCGCTCGGCGGGTGTATCCCCTGTCTCAGCGCCCCCGAAGATCACCTTGATCTCCAACTTCTTCTTTTTACCCTTTGGGCCAAGGGATCCCTCCGGACGTTTATCTGCACTCCGATAATCCACGTCCTGAGGTTCCGCCTCGCGCCGGTCGTCGCGGCGCCATGTCCTGTGCCTGGGGTTCGGCTTCTGCTGGCTGTTTTTGTTCAGCAGCTGGGTGAACTCGCCCAAGTACCCCTGGCGGATCAGCTCGTCAATTGCCTTCCTCAATTGGCTGCAATTGTCTGTCAGGTGGCCGGCCCTCTGATGGTATTCACAGTAGGCCGATTGGTCGTGCCCCATATGCTTCTTCATGTCTTGGGGCTCCACGAGGAGGCCCTTGTCCTTGATGGCCTCGAAGATTTGGCTCACTGGATAGGCCAAGGGGAAATAGCGGTCGTCCGGCCGCGTTTGACTGTCTCCGGACGGAGCCTTCCAAGGGACCATTGCCCCGTCCACCTTTTTCTTTTTGTTTGGGGGGGAGGGCCCGGTTCCTGGTCCGGGTCCGAGCCTGTCCGCCATCTTCCGTGGGTGGGCCGCGGGAACTCCGTCCCGCTGCCTGATCTCCTCCTCGATGGAGGCATACTTTTGTGCCCGAGCCAAAACCTCGGTGTAGCTGGTGCCGGGATTCCTCCTCAGGTCCCGGTATAGATCCCCTGTGGCCAGCGCACTGGTGAACATGTTGGTGGCCAGACGCTCGTCCAGATCGTCGACCTGTAGTACCTCATCCCTCCACCTTACCAGGAACCTAGCCAGCGGTTCGTCCCGCCCTTGTTTGATGTGGGCGAGAGCCGTGACGTCCTTCCTGGGGGTGGTACTGGCAGCAAACTGTGCCATGAACTGCCGGGAAAGCTGTTCGTATGAGTCAATGGTGCCTGGTCTCAACTGGCCGAACCATTCCTGAGCTGGCCCCCTGAGGGTGCTGAAGAACAATCTGCAGATGGCCTCGTCCGATGCTCCCAGCATGGAGAGGTTCCCTTGGTAGCTTATCAGATGGGCCTTAGGATCGCCAGCCCCATTATACACCAAGTTTCCCGGGGGTCTGCAATCCCGGGGGATCTCGACGCTCATCACCCGTGGAGTAAAGGGTGATGTGAGTGAGAAGGAGGGTGTGGCCGAGCCGACGTCCGCCCGCCTATTCATCTCGGCTATCTGCCTCTCCATGGCTTCCAGCCGTGCGTCCTGTGTGGCCCTTCCGGGGGACACAGGGGGCGCGGCTTCGGGGGTGACGTTCTGCTGAGCAGCCACAACATCGTGCGGCCGCCTGAAGATCTGCGCTCCTCGCCGTTGGAAACGTCGTCCAACGGCGTTGACCCTTGGGGTCTCGTCTCCCTGCGGGATCTTGCGAGGAACCGATGGCGTGAGAGCCCTGGATGCAGCGATGCTGACCCTGGTTCGCCCTCCCGTCTCACGGGAGCCTGAACCCCCACCTAGCCGCTCGTGGACTGAGGGCCGGTGGTCGCTGGATCCCGTCGTATCGTCATACGACTGCATGCGGCGTATGGGAGAGAGGGGTGTTCGCTGGGTGCTTGCAGAGTACACCTGATCTCGG